GTTTAAATTCTTTTTTTCTTTTTTTTTTTTTTTTTTCTTGTGTCTCTCACATTCAGACATTCACACTATCTCTCAAGCCTTCACCTGCCCAGAAGCTTGCTGGAATTCATGGCCTTGGATTTCCCTTGATGTGTGATTGACATGCTGCTTTAGAAAATCCTCCATGACTTCTAAACTGTTTACTGTATTGTGGCATGAGTGTGACTTGTGTTTGTAGATTGTAGAGTCACAGAAATATATTTGTACGATCGATCATTTATTCTTGGAAAATAAAGAAATTTATTTTTCTAATTAGCAGTGGGAATTTGCACCATTACCTCAAACAGTATAATGACATTCTCGTTAAGCATTTCAGTACCACTCATACTATCTATATACAGTGGCACCAAAAAGACACTTAAAGTCCCCATGAAATCAAAATTAAAGTTTTTTTGGGTGTTAGTATCGATATGTTAGTCTCAAGATTATCTATAAGGCAGTGTGCTCCAAAACAGTGACAAAATTCGCATTTAGAAGCGTTCAAAGCTTGCAGTTTGTGGAAAAAAATGATTTTTTTTTTGACGTCACATGTACTTCAGCTTCTCATCAAACTTTGTCCAATCAAATGCTCTCTAGAATCCGAAGCGCAACACTGTAAAATAGACGCTGAAGCCGCGGCTGAACTCTAGGGATGGGCGATACCACTTATTTTGTTTTTGATACGATACTGATATTTTTCAAGGCAGTATCGTCGATACCGATTCGATACTTCTGAACTAAACTTTTAAATTATGAAATTTATTAAATTACTAAGAGTAAAATGGGTAATGATAAGCACTTTACACAACTTTGTTTAAAACACATTTTTAACATTCAATACACCATAATTGTAACTTATTAGGTTATATTTTTGTTTACACATGGATCAAATATGTTTTTTGTTTACACATGATTCAAATCTATAAATACTATAGTTAAACTACAGTCACTTTTTAGTAAAACCATGGTTCATTTTCATAAGGGACTGCCAGTAACAGGCTGTTACGTGCATAAAATGCAACCTTTTTATTCTATTAACATTACAGAATAGAACATGATAAATATTATCTTTCAACGTTCAATTTAAATAACTGTAATTGCACAAACTATGTAGGCTACAATTTCAGTTTGTTTATTGTGAAATAACTCTGTCCTTCTGTCCTCTGATAAGCATTGTTCAGGGCTGCTGTTCCCAAAAGCTTTAATGCTTTCTTTATGATACTTTTGGGAAAATCAGCCCTGTTTGAATGCACTGTCAGCAGTGAGTGAACGCTCTCTGTGATTGATTAGTTCTGTCTTGCAACATTTGCGTGTTCAGCTGAGCAGGAAAATAGTTCTATCCTACACAATTACTCGCTAACAAAGGTTATTCGTCCAATTCAATGCATATTGTACGCATTATTATTTTTTAGTTAAACAAAATCACTGGTAAATAAAACACACCTTAGTATCGATATTTTTGTTTGCGTATCGAAGCTCGATACGCAGTATACTTTCGATACTCGCGTCAGTATCGATATATCGATACTTCGGATCGATACGCCCATCCCTACTGAAATCGGTCACTTGTCCACAGAATTAGTATTTTCTGTACACTATATAGGGGACAGGGAACGATTCAAACAGTGTAAATATGCTTTACATTGAGGAAAAAAATAAGTCTGGTTTCGCGCTGTCACGCTAACCACCGCACACACACTCTGCTCCGGTCCAGAGACACGATAGCACGGAGCGGATCACATGCGCGAGTCGGCGCAGACCACAAAATGTATCGGAGCTATTTTAATTCTACACAGCATTCTATATTTTATAGCAATATGGATGAGATTGTGGCTGGCGTACCCTGTCAAATGCGGCTTTACGGAGCTCAACGGCTCTAGCCCAAGCTGTGATATAAACGAACGTATGTCGTTATTTTAATGACAAATGTCGAGAGCGCATTATTGTAGCGCGAAAGCACATTAATATAATGCGCGAGCGCGAATCTCTCCGCTCGCGCGCGGATTTCCTTTGCTCTCCTCGCGCTCAGATGTATGGAACGATATTCCGGACAATTTTCAAATAGAATAGCAAATTGTATTTTCAATTGCGTTTTCAATATGTGGACGCATAAATTGTGGCATAATCCAAATGCAATTGCAAATCCTGCATTAGCGTTTGCATTTTCGCTTTCGCGAACGCACAGTGACTGCCAAATTTCAAATGAAAAAGCAAAGTCCATTTGCAACTGTATTTCCCATGTCTTAGGCACTCAAACTGTGTCCTGTGCACTCTCAAATCTCTCTGTGCTCATGCGATATTAATTATTTTCGCAGCTAAATTAAACGTTGTCAAAAGTTATCATTATGCACGTATTATTAAAATCAGAACTGAGAACAAACACTGGATTAAAAAAAAACTCCCAATAAATGTCCAAACGATGCTATTAGAGCATTTATTGTATAATATCTTGCATCATTTACATCTATTTTTGCATTTGATGTTGATTTGAGGAGTTGTTACTTATTGTTGCCATCATACCAACTGAGAATTTATTGCAATGATTTTAAATTCAGTTGAGGTATCTGACATATTATGACATAACATCAATGTTTTATATGAAGTCTTTAGAGCCATAGGCTATAATATGTTGTTTTTAGATAAATTGCTCAGAGACCAACAAGTTGGACAGAGGTTATTATATTAATGTGCTTTCACTCTACAATAATGCGCTATCGACATTTGTCATTAAAATAACACCATAGAACGCTATTGGCTATTTTAAAAAGGGCGGGGCTGCTTGATATGTCCCGCCCTGTCTTCCTGTTTCAGTTAAAATGACGTCAACACATAGAACGTTGAGAGCGTCAAAGTGGCCGGAAGTCATTCATTTTCAATGTGAACCGGCGTCGAGCAACGGCGCGGCGGACTTGAACGTTGAGGGCGTCGAGGAGAGTTGAAATCAGGGGCAAGTTCAAGCTCAAACCAGTGTGCACCGTTTTGCTACGGTTTCCGGTTTGAACGACATGTTTCCTGGAAACGGTGTGCAACGGTATTTGAGATGCGTTTTCTCTTGTTTGGTGGGTGTGTCAAACATGTCAGCCCAATCGGCAGCAGCATGTGTATATAAACCACACGGTATTAAAGAGACAGCTCTCACAATGTAATTAACATCCATATAAATTCACAGGAGCAAGTATATTGTTTGCACATGTTTATTTACATTAAAGGCAAAATAACTAAAATAATAAGAGCACAAGTATAGCCTATATTTCTGTTATTCTCCCTCTAGGTAGTACCGCAATGGGGGGATTTGAAATCAGAGCTCAAGCCGAGCCTCCAATTAGGACAGCAAGCCAAGTTCGTTTACCATTAACCATCAGGACTGGATGGGCAGGCGAACTAGTGAAATAAAATTTAGTGTAGCAGGGATAGTTCCCCCAAAAAGAAAGTTGTCATCATTTACTCAATGGCTACCAGCAACTATTTGCTTACCCACATTCTTCAAGATATATTCTTTTGTGTTCAACAGAACAATGAACGAAGCTCATACAGAAACAATTTGAGGGTGAGTAAATGACGACAGAATTTTCATTTTGGGGTAAACTGTCCCTCTTTAACATTGCTATAATAATGTCTATAATAGAGTGTTACTGTAGATTTTATTTAACCTTTACATTTTTAAAGTTTCTCCTCGACACTGACTAGGTTCTAGTTTAACACGTAGAGAAATAAAAAATTTAATCCTATGTTAGGTTCAAGCAACAAATTAATTTTAATATA